CCCTGTTGGATGGCTCTCTGTGTCGATCGTTTTGATCGAAGCTGGCCAAAACCCCCAACAAACCTGCATCACCACAGTCTGGGCCAGGCATGCTCCGGAATGCGAAACTGTATCATCTGAAGGGCTTTCAGCAAGATGTCATTGAAATGTACCACCAGCGAGCTTACACGGCTCTGCGCCTCAAGCGTCATCGACTGGGTGTAGGTGGCAAAAGTTGACTCCTGAAGGTACACCTCAAGAACACGTGTTGAAAGCCATCTGCCCTTTCTTCTCACATATTCTGCGTCTTCTGTGGTCTGCAACCAGTACGTGGCGCCCCCTGGTCTGAGGCTGGACAGCGAGTAAGGTGGGACTGCACTCCCTCCACCTCCGACCAAGCCAAGTGCGGTCTGCAAGGCACTGAATCTCTTACGCAAAGCTTGTGGAGATCTGTTCCAAAGAGGTTCTGAAGGTAGCAGCCTCGAAAAAACACCATCCAACAAAAGGACAACATCCCTAGGATCTATCCTAGAGGATTGGTGACGTGCTGCACGGCCACGCGTCTTGGGGAGCTTTATCTTCAACAAAGCAAACCAGGTTCCAGGAGCTGCATCCCTGGGGAGTATGAGGTCCTCCCGCTTTGCTTGGAAGATCTCGCCAATGCGCAACACTCCAGTCCAACCTAAGGCCAGGATTGCGGCCTCCCGACTCCAGCCCCACAACAGGGCTAGTCCTACGGCAGCGAGGAGGATGGATTGAGGGAGCGCCTTGTTGTGCTCATGGGGCTCGTCCACGACCCAGTTGAAAGCAAGGTCCCAACACGCCGCCATCTGGCGGCGCAGAACTGGCCTCCTGGCCGACACAGCATTAATTGTCTCGGAGAAGCGGTTGTAGCTCTTCCCCGAAACATAAAGCTCCTTGCCATAGGCAACCAACAGCTCCGAGATGTAATCGGCGTCCAACGAACGAGGCTCGAGCAAGCGTTCCAAAGTAATCCGAACATTTTCTGAAAGCCAACGATCGAAGGCCAGCAAGTATTGATCTCGACGGTTGCGGGTGCTTTGAAGAACAACCCGGTCAGCCTGCAGGATGGTGCCCTCGCGACGCTGGGCTCTCTGCTCTTCATCTTTGTTGCTCGGTCCCATCGGCATGGCAGCGGCCGACCTAAAAACGCCCCAAAACGCTACGGTATGGAGCTGGGAGGTGTCCCAAACCCAAAAGGGGGGCCCACGGGATTTCCAGCACCCAAGCGAGGAACAAGTCCATGACATGGGAAGACCAGCACGAAGTCCAGGGCTGTGGTGGGAGCCAAAGATAGACGCAGTGAGGCAAGTGGCCAAAATCAAGGCCAAGATGAAAGTCCACATTCCAAGAAAATGAGCATGCTTAGGAGAGAAGTCGACCGAGCTAGCTGCAGCACCAGGGCAAAGGCCGATGCAGACAAGGAGATAGAGCCGGATCCAATTGCCTGCTGCCCTTGAGAACTGATGAGAGTGCACAGTAGCAACTTCTTCAAAATTGAGAGCACTGACCACGGAGAGCTTAGCACCAGGTAGGGCTTCTTTTTCACGAGATGGAGCATCTGCCGTATTGAGCCTTGTCGGAGCAAAACCATAGGCTGGATGAAGGTTCCCGGCGATCTGGTAGGCACAGGACCTGAGCAAAGAGGGCCTAAGGGAGTAGGCAGCTGATCGCCCCTTGGCATGTGCACCCTTTGCGACTCGGCTGTCCAGGAGTACGTTGAATCGCAAGTCGCCACCTTTCTCCAATAGCATCTTTTCCAAAGTGACAAAGGCCCTGCTCTCCAGGACATTGATGTGCCCTGGCTTGGACCAGCACCAACTCGCCAAGGTCTTCCAACCGTCGCGCAAAAGGAGGTCATTGATCACGATGCTCTCCAAACGAGGGCCGCTCCTCTCTGCATCCTCTGCCTTGCCGGAGGTCACTGCCAAATGGAAGCACCTTGCTATGAGGTCTGCAACACCCGAGTGATAAATGGCACTAGGCTTGGTGAGCTTCCCTTCAATTCTCACATGCTCATGGTTTCTTGGGCACGGCACGTTCAACATCTCCATGTCCAGGCCCCAACCTAGCAGCCTGAAAGGCTTCTTGTGCATAGATCCAAGGGCACATGAGTTGAGAACTGCTTCAACGAACCCAAGCTCAAGCAGAAACTTCCAAGATGGTAGCCACGCCATTTTCGAGAGGTAGGGTGTCTCAAGCATAGCTGGAATGTCCCAGCGGTAGGCAAACCAGAGGATCAAGAAGCTCCGGAAGGCCAGAAGGTTCCCAAGAGCCGTCTTTGGATCTTTTCTATCGAAGCCAAGAGGCTCTTGATAGGATCGTGAAGCTGGATGCTGAGCAGGCGAGAAAGTAGTGCAAGGTGGTTCGCAGATCAGGCTTCTGAATCTCTTCTCGCTGATCATCTGAAAGATCCAATTGAGGAGCTTGTGGTTCCCAATGTCATGATGTGGGCTCCGAGAAAGGTCAATAGGAGGGCAAACTCTCAAGCCCAAGCCAGCGACCGCAGAGCTAAGAACTCCAGATCCTCCGAAGATCTCGACAAAGTCAAACTCAAACGGGATCATCTTGGCAGGTGATGACATGACCTCAGACAACAAAGGAGCATCGTCGAGGTCCTCGCCTAGCGACCTGAGCATCGATCTCTGAGGTGAGTCCAGCATGGTGTAGGCCCCTCTCTTGTCGCCTCCAAGCCAGAGTATCTGACTGAGCTCACTCTCAACCTGGAGCGCTGTGATGGCACCCTTCTGATTGGAGGCATCTGTGGCATAGATATGGGCATCATAAGGCACAGAGATGTCTGAGATGGCGATCAGTCCAAAAATGCCAGCAAGAACAAGCTCTTCGGCTGTCGCCCTGGAGAGGGACAGAACCTCATTAGCATCACTCTCAGTCTTGTTCCCAAGTGCAAAGATCCGGGACAGGATGCAGCTCAAGCACCTTCTAAACATCATGACTGAGACCCAATTGCCCGCCAGGCGAGATGCCAAAGTCCTGGATATCACCGGTAGGATTGCAGCACGGAAAGAAAGGGCCGCCATAGGTAGTCTCTTCGATAGTGGTGCACCAACTGAGACCAGACCTGAATCTCGGGCCTTTTGATCTGACAAAATCTCAGCTCCAATGACCTTGAAGGCCTCGGCACCACGGACAGTCTTGTCGTCAGAGCCAAACACCTCCTCTCTTGAATATGCATCCTCAGCTCTCTGAAGAAGGCCGACCGATGCTGAAGCCAAAGGGTCAGAAGAGGCAGCCTCACAGCTAATGGCAAAATAGTCGTCAATCACAAGCCCCTGCCAAATAGGTCCTCTGGGGAAAGGATGATGACCAAGTACTGTCTGGCCCTCTCGTAGCAGACCCTCATCTTGAAGGAGGGCGGTGTGACTCTCCAACGCGAACTCAACTCCAAGGTGGTCTCCTTGAAAGAGACTGCTAAAGCCACAAGTGACCTTCTTCACATCTCCTTCCCGGAGAGGTTTATAGGCAGTCTGTCCCAGGCGATCACCATGTACTTCTCGGGAGAAGCGTTTCTTCCCAGCCTCAATCATTTCTTTCCAAGCTGCAAGATGCCGAACCTGTTCTGCTTCAAATTCAAACGGAAGGACGTTGGTGTGCGCCCTTTCTCTGGAGACCTTCGCCTGGTGATAGAAGTCTTTCCTGTCAGCAGCACAGCCAACGAGTTTTCTGCCTCTTGGGCAATGCAGCGAGGTCATGAGGTGACCTGAGGGCAAGAAGGTTGAAGGCCCACGTGGATGGCATTCAGAAGCATTGAACCACCTCCTGTCTCCGATTTGGCGGTCAACCTCAGAGTTCTTGTGGGCATTGAACACGCGGCATGCAAGGCCAGTAGCATGGCCCGAAGGGAACATTGCAAGCAGGCCACGACTGTCCCAAATCTTTACAAGCTCCAGGTTCTCCTCAATCTTTTCGAACTTGAAGCTAGGACCAGCATTCCCAATGTCATAACTATGCAGCAAAATGCCAGGGTCCTGAAAGGGAAGCCATAGGATGCTGTCCAAGTGCTTCTGCAAGTCCCAAGCCCCCGTGCCTGAGAGCTTCAGCCGAGATGCAATCAGGCTGCGGTAGGGCTGCATCGGGGAGAACTCCTCCGTGACTTCGAAATAGTGCTCTTTTGAAATCTTACCAACAACTTCATCACAGCCGTAAGGCTCCGCAATGGGGCCACCATAGTGCATGTTGAAGGCGGGATGCGAGCCAGAGTACTTCTCGAGCTCCAGAAGCTTTGCAATGAATTCAAAACCAGATCGTCCCGGAGGCAGAGCGTACCGAGCTCCAGGTTGATCACACGCAGCAAGTAGCGCCTGCAGCCGTCTGAACACAGAAAGCTGCGCCAGGGAAGGGCGCCTCCCAAGTAGTGCCGAAGCAACTGGTCTAAGACCATTGTGGACATAGTTC